CCCTGCCACGGGCAGGGACACCTTCCACTAGCCCAGGTTGCTCCAGGTGGCCTTGGATACTTCCAGGGATGGGTTTCCAAACCAGAGCTTGAAGTGAATTCCCACCAGGAATTAATGCCTGGGGGTGATCACTGGGAAAACTCTCCAGGGCAGGAGGAGCCAAATGGTGTTGGGGGGGCAGCTAAACTCCAAGTTTGGGGTCAGGACCCTGTTTGCCCTGTTCAGGCCTGGGGGCTCCAGTGACAGGGTTAAACTAGACAAATGATCCGTTTATTAAACCTGGGAGAACATGAACGGCTCAGGGAAGCTGGGACAACATTCCTAGAGCAACATAAGGCTTTTTAAACAATTTCCTGGTGACTTTGACTGCTTGATCTTCCAGCCTGAGTATGGCCCTGGGGTTATTTCTTTGCATTTCATTTCCCAGGGTGTCCTGAAGAGCAGGGAGGGAAAAATCCAAGCAAAACCTGGTTTGGAAGGTGTTCCAGCTCCTCCCCCAGACCCCGCCAGCCCTTTGAACCTGCTGAGGCCACTGACCTCAGGGGGCTTTGAAGCCACCCATAATTAGGGATGGACTTGCAAGTGTGAGCAGAAGTCCATTTGTCTGGCTCCAGGAGAGGCTGGGTCACAGCTCTGGGGGTGGAGGAACCATCTTCCCCATCCCTGCTGGAGGCACCACGAGCCCTGTGCCAGCTCCAACCTGGCAGAAGGCAAGGAGAGGCACCTCCTTTTCCAGTCTTTGGGCTGGATCAGGGTTTCCAGCCCACAGCTGGGCTCCAATCCTCTTCCTATAGTGCTCCTGGGCATCGCTGCTTTCTCCTTAGAGCTCCAGGACAAGTGTGGTTAGAAGTTTGTGTTTCCAAGGGGGAAAGTTTCTTCCCTTGGGCCAAGCGCAGAAATGTGGACTGGATTTGGATCAAACTTTCTTTTTCTTTTGGGATTTTCTTGAAAGAAAAGAAAAAAACAAACAAACCCAAAAGCTAGTGCCTCAAGCAAGAGTGAAGCCTGGAAAATTTCCTCCCCAAAGGAGGACGCTGTGTGGAATTCTGAGCGTGTGAAAACAGGTGGTTGCACTGAAATGGTTTTACAGGTTGAAGAGCAGAGGGTGCTACCAAAAACCCTGTCCTAAATCCTGGAGGGAACTCTTCCTGAAAGGCAGAGGCAGGAGAAGAGGCCACCAGTGAGTAACCTGAGCCACTCCCAAAGCCACAGGCGGCTGCAGAATCGCTGCAGGAGCCAAGGAAAACGAGAGGTTTTCAGAGAGGTCAGGGAGGGAGCCAAGTCCAGGCACGAGCTTTTAACTCAGGCTTAAAAATTCCACCCCTGTGACTGGGATCTGGCTGGGACAAATTGGACTCACAGCACCTGATCCAAGACCTGCTGGAGTCAGTGGGAAGCTCTTCCAAGTGTTGGATCAGGGCCTGGAAAGTGCAGCCAGGAGGAAAAATGTCTCAGGATGGTGCTGCAGGAGGTGGGATGGTGGAGGAAGGGAAGGATTTGTGACAAGACAAGGGGGAACAGCTTCCATCTCAGAGAGATTACATTTAGAAGGGAAGGATATTGGAAGGGAATCCCTCTGTGGAAGGGTGGGGAGGGTCTGGGATGGAATTCCCAGAGAAGCTGTGGCTGCCCCAACCCTGGAAGTGTTCAAGGCCAGGCTGGAGCAACCTGGGATGGTGGGAGGTGTCCCTGCCCGTGGCAGGGGGTGGGATGGGATGGGCTTTAAGGTCCTTCCAACCCAAACCAATCTGGGATTCTGGGATCTATGAGGTGAAGTCCATTTTGGGGGGATGAGATGCTGCTCCTGGTCCCCCTCCCACTGAGGTTCTCCCAGAGTGGTGCTCCAGCTCCACTCCTCATTCCCAGCTCCATCATTAATGTGTTATCAATTATTAATTATTAATGAAATATTTGGATATTATTCCCAGTATTTCTTCTCATATTAAATCTTTTAATTATCCTACAGAGGAAGTTGGTTAAAGCTCAAGTCTGAAGTGTCCAACTGGAAAGTGCTTAGGAATTCCCAGCCTTGGTTTAGGCACTGCCAGCCTTGGTTTAGGGATTGCCAGCCTTGGTTTAGGGATTGCCAGCCTTGGTTTAGGTACTGGAGACAAACTTCCTTGTAGGAGCAGCTGCAACTGTCCTTCTTGGAGAGAGACTTTGGACAAGGCTCTGGAGGGACAGGACAAGAGGGAATGGCTTCGAACTGGAAGAGACTAGGTTTAGATAGGATATTGGGAAGGAATAATTGGGAACTTAAATCATTTCATGATTACACAAATCCAGGTTGTGTTCCCATTCCTACAGCTGGTCACTCCTCTGGAGCCCAGGCTGGGAAGGACAACCCAGTCACATTTGGGACTGGAAACCCCTCCCTGGACACTCTGGAGTGTCCAATTCCTTGTTGTTATCCATAGGAAAAGCTGCTTTTGCCTTCCTTCAGCTGCCTTGGAAGCTGAGTCCGTCTCCTCAGGTGAGGAAAGGTGCTCTCCTGGTGCAGTTCCGCACTCCCTGGGGATCAGGATGAAGTTGAAAGGTGAAACAAGAGGTGAGAGCTCCAAAAATGAGGAATTTCAGGGGGACAAAGTGATCAGCGTTTCAAAGTGATCAAAGTTTCCAGCGTGGTCGCTTCCTGAGGAAAAGGAAGAAACCCTGAGGCCCCTCCTGGAGGATCCACTGGGAACTCTGATGGCTGTGAAATCCATGAATTTCCCTTCTCCTAGCTGGGAAACTCCTGCCAAGCTCCTGTGGGGCTGCCCTCAGTTAAAGGGATGAAGGGAAAAACAACTCCCATCACCACCAAGGGCACGGAAATCTCTGGCTGGAGCGGCCCTTTTGGGGGTGCCTGGGATCCCTCCCCAAGGAAAACCCAGCTGAGAGGGAGGAGGCTAAGTCCTGCCCATGGCTCCCAACTGCAGGAGGAATTCCCTTCCCAAGGGAGCTAGCTGGATTTAGGGGGCTGGCAGCAGCGTCCTTCGGGTCCTGCTGCTGCGGAAAAGCGTCGGAACTTGGGATTTCAACCGCCCAGATTTCCTCCAGGAAACACCCACAAAGCTGCATCGCTCCTAAAGTTACTTTTATGGACATTTTCCCCCCCGAAATATTTCTCCCTGGAAAAATACCTTCCCAGGATGCAATTAAAACAGGTCTGGCCCTGGCCCCCATTAAGTACTTCACCAAATGGCCCACGAAAGGCAGGAATGAAAGGCAGCTTTGTTGGAATTTCTTCCTGACAATCTGCATCAATTCGAAAATGGGACATTGATCTGGGGGGTCGGTGGTGCTGAAAATGGCTGGGAATAAGGCTGAGCTTGGCTAGGCTCAGCTTTGGGGGGAGTCTGTGTCAGTAAAGGGCTTGGAAAGTCTAAATAATCTTGGGCTGAGCTGATCAAGGCAATGGGAATCCCATTCCAGACCTACGGATTCCAGCAACAGCCAGGGACTGGTGACTGTCTTTTAATATATATATGATTAAAACATGCTTTGTATGTCAAAGGAAGCTGGTTTGGCTTTCTATCATGGATTAGATATTTATTTATGACATCTCTTAGATCCAGTGTTCTAAACATGGTATTTTCACAAGCTGCAGTTGAATCCCTTCATGGGTTTTAATCCTTTGTTTCTGGCAGAAGTAGTTTTTTCTCCCACCTCACACAGGATCTCAGAGCTCTTTCCGTGATTCCCTTGTACTGTTTCCCAGAGTTCTTTTTTAACAGAGGTGTTTGAAATTCCCAGCAGCGTATCATTCCTACTTAACAATTAGACCTGAGCCCAAGGGATTTATAGCAAACACTGGCAGAGCTCTCTGCCTTTCTGGAGCTGGGACGTTGGTGGGTTGGTCCCTGCAGGAAGGTCCCTTCCCCGTTTTGCAGTGGAGGCAGGAGGCACGAGGTGCCCATGCTGTACCCACGTAACCTCTCATGGTCTGTGGGATTTGTGCAAGGCTCTAAGAGAGTGGCAAGTGCCAGAGCAGCCGGCTGGCAGGGAACCAGGCTGCTGCCCGGGGGCTGCTTATGGCCTCTGCCATGCACTGGTAGGGAATGGAAAGACCAAAGCCTGATCGTCTAGCAGCAAAACCTGAGCTTGTGAGCTGGGAACAAAGGAAAAAGCAGCAGAAGCTGAAGCAAAGCAGGGACTCATATGGCTGAGATTCAGGGATGTAGAGAAGTCAGCACTGTGGTGTCTGCTGCAAAGATGGCCCAGTTCACAAGCTCAGGTTTTGCTGCTAGAGGATCCTACTTTGTCCTTGCTGGAGCCCATCCCCTACCAATGCACGGCCCCCCATTGCTCTTGCATCTGCACCCACGGCAACACGTGTGCCCTGTGTCCATGCGAGAGCAGCAACCGGCAAAAGACGTCTGCTGCCAGCACTTGTCTTGGCTGCTCCTTCAGGAGGCTGGCACCTTAATCAGAGACACAGAACAGGTTTGCATCCCTGAGTTCTCCCTGTCCCCTCCACTTTCCCCAGTGCCCTGGCTATCAGCTGGGAGTCGCAGCCAGACATGCAGAACCTGGAGCTTTGACCATCAGACTGGGCAGCTTTTATTTTGCAGAACACAAGAAAAAAAGTCCAAATAACACAAGGAAACTTGACAGGATGTCTGACCAATCTAATCTTCCTGCAAAACTCAGCAGCTGAGGGCAGTTTTGTGCTGCAGCTCATCACTTGCACGAAAAAAATCATTCCCACAAGGAGAAAGTGCTTCTGCCTTCTGACAGCTGCCGAGCACGGCCACCAATTGCTCCAGCTGCCGCTCCCAACACCCCCCTGCAAGAGCGCAGACATCAGTGCCCATTGGCTTTGGCTGCCCTGTGGCAGAGAAGTGCCCCGGGGACACAGCTGTGTGGGGCAGGAGATGGGCACCAGCCCTGCCAGGACTGGGGGTGGTGGCAGGTCTCCTTGGGCGAGGGCTTGCCAGAGCTGCTGATTTTGGTGCAGCCCCGTTCAATGGGGTGGGAGCAGCATTGGTGCCCTTGCCCCCACGTTCCTTCTGTGTGTCACAGCCCCATGTTCGGGAGGGCCACCAGCCGGCACTTTTCCCAAGGAGCCCGTGCCAGCTTGTGCGGAGGCCCCGTGGCCTTCCCGCTGCGGCTGCGTCGGCAGCCAAGGGGGCTCCTTCTGCTGCCGTGGGCAGGCACAGCAGGGGAGGGTTTGCTTAGTTTTTCAGCTGTGCCTAAAGTTCATGTCCAGCTGTCTTGGATACTTTGGAGAACGGACTCCTTCCCACCTGGGGCAGGTTGTTTGGGCTGGGGGAGTCCCCAGGGCACGTGGCAGTGTGTCACAGGGCCCTTTGTGACACGGTGGGCATGGCACAGGGCAGGGTGTCACAGGGCCCTTTGTGACACGTGAGGACATAGTACTGGTGGTGAGGTGGCAACACCTCAGTGCTCCTCGGAGCGTGCGACGGGACGGACGGGACAGAGCGGAGCTGTGCGGAGCCCCCGTGCAGCCAACTCATTCCTTTCCGACCGAAGCGTTTTGGAGGCTTTTCTTTTGTGCGAGCGACCTCGAGGCCAGACTGCGGGACTTGGTGACACGGAGCTTTTGCGAGGTGTCCCCAATCCCTGCGGAAGGTGCCCCTGAGGCCACATTTCAGGACTTTATCACCTATACTTTTTCCTAGGCTTATCTCTTTCAGGTGCCCTCGAGGCCAGATCGCAGGATTGGGGACCCGGAAATTTTCCGGACTCTCCAATCCCTGCGGTAGGTGGCTTCAAGGGCAGCTTGCCGGACTTAGTGACCCGGAGATCTTCCGAGGTGTCTCTCTCTTGCAGGTGCCCTCCAGGCACCTGTGAGATGGCGGGAAGACGCCTGAGCCTGCTCAGACCCTTTCGGATGAAGAAGGAAGGCCCTGGGACTGCCCCAGCACAACACCCTGAGGAGGTGGAGCAGTCCCAGCCCCTGCAGGAGGGTGAGTGGCAGAGCTGGGCCACAGGGCTGGTGGCTGCAGCCAGATGGGCCTCATCCCATCCCATCTCCTGTGGACATGGCCAGGGAAAGGGAGGGGGGAAGAGGCCCAGGGTGATCCATGCACTGGGCATCCCAGGCCTGGCCCTGCCTGTGGAGCGCAGGGCTGGGCCGTGTTCTCCGGCCTGTCCCGCAGCCCCTCAGCTCTGACCACGCTCACTCTTTGCCAGATCCAGGACAGGACAGGACACAGGAGCAGGACCGTGCCCGTGGCCGCTTCCGCAGGGCAGCACAGGTACCTGCAGCCACAGCCTCCTGGGCTGGGTCTGCTGTCCCTGCTCAGCCTGGCACCGCTGTCAGAGCTCTCCAGGGCACATCCCTCTCTTCCCTGTCCTTTGTTCTCCTGCAGGCCTTTCTGAAATTCCTGGGCATTCGCCATAGAAAGACCAAGATCACACCATCCGAGGTCATGGCACAGCCTGACCCTATGCCCAGTGAGCTCAAGGTGCACCCTGAAGTCGGCACCGCGTCGACTGACAGCACAGCAAACTGTGACACCGCGGTGACCGATGATGGGACAAACTCCAACACCGCCCTGCCTGAGCTCACCATGGAGGTGGATGGTGCAACGACTGAGGGCATCGCAGACACTGAGAGCACACCCGTTCAGTGCCTGCCTGATGCTCTCAGTGTGGACGTTCTTGATGAGGGAGTTGTCTCTGCTCAAGTAAGCAGCCTGTGGGCAGGGATTGTGTGAGTCCTCAAGTTGGGTCTGCTGGGCTCCTCAGCCTTTGAGGCTGGCACAGTGTGGTGGGAAGGGAAGCACTTC